TCCGTGTCCACCAGCAGCGCAGGCAGCGATCACGGCATATTGTCCCTTTTCTTCCTAAAATTAAGAGCTTAATTAATGGAAATAACAAAGACACAGTTTGATTTCCCTACTTAAATTTTAGGCCACAACCTAAACGAATAGATAATAACCCACCTTTAACCTGCCGGCAGCATGTGAAGCCAATCTAACTCCAGTTGCACCAAATGGATGTCCAATTGAAAGAGATCCTCCCCATAGATTGATTTTATCCATTGGTATCCGTCCAAATTTACCGGAACGTCCCATATGTTCCTACATCAATATGTGTAAACAAGCTTGCGCACGAACTTTCATGGGATATAAATAGTCAGCATACTTTGCAGAAGTAATCGGAATCCAAAGCATTTAAATTAGCGAGAACTTGTCCAGCAAACGCTTCGTGGATTTCGAATACATCAATGTCTTTCAATCCAAGACCAACCTAAAATAGCTTTATAACCGATTATGAACTCCAAGCACGGCAAAAGCAGATGGTTTACTACTCACCCTTTCCAGCAACTTTGGGATTACATAAGCTGGTGAGAGAAGAAGTTGATCTTTAGGATCCTGCGCGACATACTGGTACTCCCGAAGGTAAGCAAGAGGCTTATAACCATTAGCAAGAGCATAATCTTCGGTTGTAATCAAACAAGCAGAGGCACCATCGGTTAGGAAAGATGCGTTAGCTAAAGAGTTACTTAGTATTCTATGAAGGTGTTTGTAAGAAAGCCTATAACAGATTTTCCATGATCAACAGCTGCAAGAGATACGTACCAGCTGTGATAGTACCGTGGGGCTTGACAAACGCTGGTTTCAGAGAAGCCATTTTTTCCATGGTTGAAACGCGAATTCCATTATCTGTCTAAATTTTGCAATTAGGTACAAAAAGCTACTGAAGAAAACAAACTTGAAGAATAAAACAAAACAAACCTTTACTGTTTGTGGCTTCTTTCCGCTAAGAAAAACTGGTATTACGTCTTTCAGCTTACCAGCATCAGTGGCAGCTTTAGCAAGGGAGTGGGAGCGTAACGCAAACTCATCTTGTTCTCTAAAATTATGTTAGTTAGCAAGCATTGGAAGAAGAACTTATAAGGCAAAAGTAACATAGTGACTTATGCTAAAGGAACGGCCTCTATAAGGCTCTTCAAAACCTGCACTAATCGCGATAGCAGACTAACCTCCTTGATACGTTGAAAGCGGCGGCAAGTCGATCACCACTGTGTCCCATGGTCTCTCCCGTAGAGAACTCGGCTACTGCTGGTAACTCTGGGGTGAACATGTTCATCGCAATCTCTCCTCCTGCAAAAATAGATGGAGAAAAGAGTAAGCGTTAAGCCAAAAAA